TGAACGGATCTTGAGCAAAACTAGCGGATGTATGTGCATCCCTAGAATTTGGCAAATCCTATCTGGTGGTTTGTGGCAGACATTGTGAACTTCACAAGAGAAATAAAGACAAAAACAGACTGGGGAAAATCAGAGATTTCAAGTCTTCTCCTCACCTTTTCCTTCACCAGTGTCCTGAGTCTTACCCTGTTATCGTTTCTGGTTCTACAGCTATCAAATGAAACTCCACACCCAGCTTGTAAAAGCCAAACAAAGACTATCATTGCATTCCAAGAATCTCCTTCTCAACCTTCTTATCAACACTCCTGGGAAGAACCTCTCTAGTGTTATCAACCTGCTCTTCCGCTCCCAGTACTTCAAAGGAATTCGTTGAATTTGCTTTGACCCCTGCCCCCACACACACACCACTGCTCGAGCTATCCTGTCAACCTGTAATCTGTAGGGGACATAACGGATTCTAAATCAATAGAAGCACTGTAGCACCTGAAAGACAAACAGAATTTTATACCATCTAAAGCTTTGGTGGACTAGAGGTTCTCCTTCAGGTGCCAATGTGTCTGTGTATTTTGAAAGGATGCAGTCGTGGAGACAAGAAAGGAATTTTGTGAGTACTAGTTTTAGTTTTTCCAAGAAATACCTTGTTAATCTTTAATAAGGAGGGTCAGGACCTAATGGAATGGGATCATGTGTTTTTCTATGGCTGCAATCCTATATATATATATATATATATATATAAATATATATATATATATATTTACTTGTGAGAAGCATGAACGGAATCAGGCTACGGTTGTTTCCCATCTAAGCATGCTTTGCAGAGAAGGGATTTCTTCTCCTGTTCTTTGGAGAGCTTGGGGTTTTGTCAAGGGAAAGCAGAAGATGAGGTTTTATCTCTATGGGTCATGTCTAGTCACAGAGCTACACTGCCCCACTCAAAGTACCGATCTGCCTTATCTAGTTTTTTTTTTGGGGGGGGGCTCTTTTAAAATGTGTGACATGGCTGCATCCATTTAAAACAATGGGAATAGGAAAAAAATCTGCATTTAAAAAATCAGTGTTGGCTGGTTACCTCACCCGTAAGTGGTAGCTCTTCAAACTCCATCCACTGAACCTGCCTAGTTCTGCCTAGATCTGTTTTTCAAGGCATGCTCCTTCTTATCATAATCTTTAAGTGATCTTCTTGAACCCAGTTCCTCTTGAGATTCTACAAGTGCAAATACGGCAGGGTGCTTAAAAGGACATTTGAAGAAGGACTTCTTAATAAGTGCTTTTGAACTAAACAAAGAAAACTGTTCTTATTCATCCCTGATGCTAACGACTCAGAGACTCTAATAGACATAAAAATACTGGGACTTGGTAAGAGAAATTTCTGCTCTTATGAGAAAATTGCTAGTTTCTTTGAAGCCCTACCTGGCAATGTGGCAGGCTCACCTAGTGAGGAAGACTGCCTACAATCAGGTCTTCACAAAAATAAAGGGACACACAGTATAGAAAGTAGAAACCACAAGATAAATATCATGTATAAGTCGTTCATCTCAATTAATATACAATAAAGTTCAATTTTTACATGAAAAGTGTATTATTGTACTTCTTATTATGACATCACAATCTTGCAACAACTTCCAAATGCGTTACATATATTCCACAGATACACAGGTGGCAAGCAAAACACTCTGTATTCAATGATGGTTCCACTATTTCACAATGTTGCTACATACAAAGAAATGAATCAAGTATCCAACTTTATTTTGTTCATTATATTTCTGTTATGTTTTTTACTGTTATATGTTACATGTTGATGATAAAATAAAATTCAAAAAAATATATATCCAGGACCAATACTGTATTAAACTTTATTGTATCTTAATCAAGGTGAACGACTTATACAAAGTATTTATCTTGTGGTTTCTACAATCAGGTCTTGTCAGCTCTCCTTAAGTTCTGTCAGAAGTGGCTGTGGGCAGGTAGGATCTCCTGGCAGGTAGGATCTACATCATCCTTTAGCCAACCTTCTAGGTTCTCCCTGGTTCTGTATTTGGAAGTATGGAACAGAGAGTGCAGATTTCCACACCTCCTTGTCCAGTCAGCAGCACTAGTTCCTTTCCCACATGCTATTTCTCCTCCAGAGGTTGAGAGTGTTGGACTAGTATCTGGGTGGCCCAGGTTTGAATCCCCACACAAGCGACAGAAGCTTGCTGGGTGACCCAGGGCCAGTCACACTCTCTCAGCCTAATCTACCTCACAGGCTTGTTGTGAGGATAGAACGAAGAGGGGGAGGAGAATAACGTAAACTGTTTGGATCCCAATTGTGGAGAAAGGTGGGGGATGGATGGATGGAGGTTTTCAAATAGCAACAGTAGTAGATATATCACAATTATCTGAAGAAGTGTGCTTGCACACGAAAGCTCATACCTTGAATTAAACTTTGTTGGTCTTAAAGCTGCCCCTGGACTCCAACTTTGTTCTAAAACACTATAACAACATCCAGAATATCAATAAAAAATGGCAAGACGACTGCCAGTGGTGGTGGTAGGGGGAGGGTATAACTTAACATGTAGAAGCACTGTTTACCCTGTGAATGCTTTTGCGTTCACCAAAGCCATTCGAGCAGAACACGGAAGTATTCCCTTGTGTAAGCACAACCAAAGAGGATGAGTGACACATTCAGAACGACCCAATTTGGATCTCATCTCTGCCATGAACTTAAGCAAGTTTCAGTCTCCATTTGCCACTAGGAGTGGACTGGGAGGGAAATTAACAACCCCGTCCCCAGTCTGCTCTGCCCACCGTGGCCTCAACCCTCCCCCCTCCCCAGGAAGGAGAGAGGAGTCTGTTCAGGCAGCCCCACGCCATGTGTCTTGGCCAGGTGCCTTCAGCAAAGGGCTGAGGCCATCCCTTGCCTGAGCCGTGCCCGCCCCACGCTGGCGAAGCAAGGCCAAGCCAGGCCCATCTTTTGCCAGGCAAGGAGTGGTTCGACCAGATAACCGCTTCTCCGCACCATACCCCACACACCTTCCCGGGGCATGGCCTGCTGGCTCCTGCCTCTTACTTGAGGCCTGGGTGGCTCCAGCTGGAGGTGGCCCTGGTATGGGGGGGGCAGCTACCGGCCTACTGGGACTTTCCCCAATTGGCCCCGTTTGCATTGTGGAGACAATATCTACATGGTCGAATAATGCGGATAATAAATTCTACTGAGGAGGGGTCCCTGTTCGCAGCAGCCATGGAAAAGTCCTGCAATAACTCCAGAAGTGCTGCCACACCCGTCTGCTGAGGCAAAAACAAGCAGAGGGCCTGGGGCTCCTTTAAAGGCCTTTAAGTTTTTAATCGTGGCATAAATGCAAGAATTAAAATTGTGCTCCTCTACATGGTGCCCACAAGCCTCCTGTTTCTAATGAACATGAAGCCCTTTGAGCACACTTAAAAGTGGTATATAAATGGTAAGTACCTATAAAAACCTAAACTGTTTAATCTGACATTATAATTCTTGTTGCCAGCTGCCTTGGAGGGAAGGGATAGGCAGAAAGGGGGGGAAATGGAATACAATCATCTTGTGCGTGCTCAGAAACCTTCTCCCTTTTGATCATTATTTTACTTGGTACAGACCTAAGCCCCCACACAGGCACCTGCCCACCTCCAGCATTACAAGCAGTTGACAGGATGGAACCCCGGCTTGAATTATGAAAGAGCATCCAAGAGCATTGGGCAAGGAGCTGGCAGACCTGGGTTCCACTCCCCACTAGGCCAGGAAGCTCATTGGGTGACCTTGGGCTTGTTGTTTTCTTTTAGCCTCACATACCTCACGTGGTTCTTGTGGGGGCAAAATGGAGGACAGGAGAAATATGTCACCCTAAGCTTCTTGGAAGAAGGATAGGAGAAATGTGATAGATTGATAAATGGACAGATAGATGACATCAGCTCATGCTTGAGCCAGCAAGGTGTCATTTGAGGAAGGGAAGGTGGCACGGTATAGCCTGAACTCCTCAGGGCTTGGCAGCTAAGCAGGGTCGGTACTCGGATGGGAGACCACCAAGAAAGACTCTAGAGGGAGGCGACGGCAAACCGCCTCTGCTTCTCACTTGCCTTGAGAGCCACTTGCCGGAGACACCACAGATCTGCTGGGACTTCATGTCACCTCGTACACAGACACGCTACCTTGAGCCAAGAGGAAATTCGGGCTATATTTGGCTGTGTGGAACAGGTGCATTCACACACCCAGGACTTCATTTCAGACAGGGAGGTGGGTGAGTCTACAGAAAGAAAATCAAAAACAGGGGTTCAGCGACATTTTAAAGACAAACTAAACTTATTTCAATGTAACCTTTCCCAAGGCGAGATGCGGTAGGGGCCGATTCATATACACAACAGAAGTTACAAAGAGAGGTTGAAATAAGATCCAGAAGAGTAGGGCCGGATTTAGACTTGCTGAGGCCCTAAGCTATACAAAACCCAGAGGCCCCCTACTGTTTTAAATTACATCAGCTGGTCTCAGAAAAATTTAAAATATATACGCCTTTTTAATAATTGAAATCATTTTTACTTGAGGCCCCAGCAGATTGCGAGGCCCTAAGCTGTAGTTTATTTAGCTTATGCGTAAATCCGGCACTGACTGAGTAGCTGGTTCACACTGTGCTTCTGAGAAGTGTTTCTGAGCAGGTGTCGTGTCAGAGGGAGACGATCAGACAGATAGACAGACCCCCCCCCCTTCTCCCAATGTCTGTCGGAGAATCCTTGCGCCCCCCAAGCGAGAAGGGCCTGCCTGCCGGCGGCGGCGCCTTCTCCTCCTTCCCCAGTTCCCCCTCTCCCCTGTCCACACGGCGGCCTCCTCCCCGTCCCGCCTCTGCCGCGCGTTCTGGCTCCCCTCGCGGGGCCTGGAGGGGGAATGGGTGGAGTTGAGGAGCCGGGTTTCCTGAAAGGAAGTGACCCAAGGCAGCTGGAATGCCAGCCTGGCTGCGCGGCGCGTCTCCCGCTCGCTCCGTCGTGCAGCGCCCGCCCCGGGGAAGCCCGAGCGCCGCCGACCGCGGGGGGCCAGGGCGAGAGGGAGGGCGGCGGCGGCGGCGGAGGGGCCGCCGGGGCGATGCCGCACTTCACGGTGGTGCCGGTGGAGGACAAGCACCGGACGGACTACGACAACTTGGAAGGGCTCAGCTGGGTGGACTACAGCGAGCCCGGCGGCGCGGCGCAGCTGCACCCGCGCGATGCCTACGACACGGTCAGCTCCGACGGTGAGTGGGGGCGGGGGGCCCGGAGCCGCCCGCCTGCTCGGGGAAAGTTCGCCTTTTGTCTCGGCTGCTTCGCGAAAAGGGGCGTCGCTCGCTCTTAAAGAGAAGGAAAGTCCCGCTATTCCGGCGTTGCGCCAGGCGGGGTGCCAGCTTTGTCGGGAAGAGCAGCCCGTCTGTCCCAGACAGTGTGTTGTGTCTCTTTTCGAAAGGAGGCTCGATGTGGGGTGGGGGTGTTACTCCGCCTGTGGGTTCGAGGGGCTGGGTAGCACCGAAGCTAGGGCTGGTTCACGCGAGCGAATGAGCGTTTCTGAGCATGTGCAGAGTTGGGAGGCAAGATGGGGGTGGAGCTTGTGTCAGTTGAGGTTTAAACCAGCCCTAGTCTGACTGCTTGGAGTAACTCCGAGTAAGAGCCATCACGGAATGAACGTTAATGAGCATGTGTAGAGTTTCAGCGGCAGCCCTTGCAAGGAGGCAAGCCGAGAAATGGTGGTGATGCTAGGCCTCAGGTGGTAAGCTGTAAGAGCTATCACGGAATGAACGTTTCTGAGCATGTGTAGCGTTTCAGCGGCAGCCCTTGCTAGGAGGCAAGCTGAGAAATGGTGATGCTAGGCCTCAGGTGGTAAGCTGTGGGTGTCATCGACTGTAGTTTTATGTATACCCTGTTAGCTTTAGACCAAAGGTCTGGCTTTCTTTTCCCACCAGCTAGATGCCTTTGAGATGGCTGACTGTGCGGGGGGAAAGATACAGCAGCCTTCTTATTCCCCCCAGCATCCAGTGCCCAGAGGTATACTGCCCATACACATAAAGGTGTCATTCATCTGTTATGGTTAGTAGCTGCTGGTAGGCTTTCCTTGCATGAATGGATGTAAAGGGCTCAGAAGCAAAGTTTGAATGAGGTACCGGTTGAGTACCCAGAGCAATCTCAGAGGGTAACTCTATTGTGAGAGAAAAGGGAGCACCTGCCTGCATCTTAATCCCTTCTTCTGAGTTTATTAAAGGAATCCGGATGCAGTGAAGTGCTCAAAATGGCCCAGCAGGGTCCTAAAGGGTTAACAAAGGGTGAAGAAAAGACAGATTCCAAGCATGTGGGTTGGTTGGTGGTATGGGACGTCCTCTGTCCAGTGCTCCCTCTAAGCTGTGGAATCTTCTGAGCAAAAATTCTGCTTTGTGAGCTACTGGCATTAAAGTTGTGAGCGAGCCATTTGGCTACTGCATGAATCAGTTTGCTCTGGAGCCATCCCTTCCTGAGCTAAGATGAAAATGTGTGAGCTGGAAGCTAAACAGCTGTGCGCCAGCTCACACTAACTCAGCTTAGAGGGAACACTGCCTCTATCGTGGTGGGGGATTGGACTGGGAGACCTTGGGGTGCATTCCACCTCCATTCTGTAGGAATCTAGAGGATCTCTACAGGGCAGATACCTGAAGGACAAACTCCAGGTGTGATGGCGGTGCCTGGATTTTCTGCTGCAACGCAAATAGCACCTTGTATGGAGCAATTTGGGTCAGGATAGTACGCGCAAGGAAATTGCCTTGTACTGAATCAGACGCTTGATCCATCAAGGTCAGTATTGTCCACTCAGACTGGCAGCAGCTCCCCCGAGTTCCAGGCGGAGGTCTTTCACATCACCTACTAGCTGCTCCTTTTAATTCGGATAGGCCAGGCTAGACCGATCTCGTCAGATCTCAGCTAAGCAGAGTCGACCCTGCTAGTAGTTGGATGGGAGGCCATCAAGGAAGCCCAGAGTTGCTGTGCAGGGGAAGGCCGTGACAAACCACCTCTGAATGTCTCTTGCCTTGAAAACTCTACAGGGTCACCATAAGTCAGCTGTGACTTGACGGCACTTTCCACCTCCACCACCACCACCACCACATGACCTGGTCCTTTTAATTGGAGAGAACAGGGATTGAACCTGGGGCCTTCTGCATGCAAAGGTTCAAATCCCCATGCTGCCACAAAAGCTTGCTGGGTGACCTTGGGCCAGTCACTCACTCTCAGCTCAATGTACCTCACAGGGTTTTTGTGAGGATAAAACTGAGAAAAGGAGAATGTTGTAAGCCAGTTTAGGTCCCCATTGGAGAGAAAAGAGGGGCATAAATAAAGTAAAATAAATACACACGTGGAAGTGCTGTGCACCTGCCAAGTATTTAAAGGCAGAGGTTCTTCTAAGTAGGTACTGAATGCATTTTGCTTACTGCTGAATAGCTGGAGTCTCTACATATTGAAGATCAGGGTGTTCAAATTCTGGGGATGTTATTTCCAGGCTGGCATTTGTCACTTTAGAAACTGAGCCCTCCCATGTTTCTTCCTGGGCCAGTGGCCTGCACTGTACATCACATTTCTTTGTCCCGTACCAATTTTCTGGGTATCATCTTCCTTACAAACATCGCCTCACAAGATGAGGGGATTCTGGCAAGCCTAAACATTTGGGGAATTTAGAAATCTTTTTTTAGGTGCTTTAGAAACCAGGGTAATCCCAAATACTTTTGGAGAATCATAAATGTGAAAGGCATTTCTGCAGGCGTCAGAGGGCATGTAGATCTTTCCACGTTTTCCTCCTCCACCCTCTCTTTTTCTTCTCTCCCCCCCCCCCCCCCTTTTTTTCCCCCCCCCCCCCCCCCCGTCTTCCACTCTCCCTGCCAGTTCATTTCAACTTTTCATGAATGGGGGGACTGTTGATGTCCGGGACAGTCCATCCTGGGAAAGAATGGCCAGCTGTTCTTTTCACAGGCAGGCAGAGGGTGGTGGAGCCCTGGGCTGCTGGCTCAGCAGTTCATCCCTGTGACTCTAGGCAAGAAAAATCTGCCTTAATTGCAGAGAAATGGGCACGTGGCAGGTTGGGATGCATTTGTGCCCCAGGGCAGTTCTAAATTGTGGTAGCTGACAAATAACTTCTCCTTTTAAAATGGCGATTTGGGTTTCTCTTCCAGGGGAATGCAGCTCTAGGAATTCTTTATTTATTTATGTAGTCATTCCTTCATTTGATTTATGCCCCCCTCCATTCCCCATAAGCAGGGCTCAGGGCTTCCAGCAACTAAACGTACAATAGTACAGCTGCACATTACACTTTAAAACCAAATTGTTACAGATTAAAACCTAGCCCTTCGTTAAGTACATCAAATCAGATGGTACCCTCATACCCATCTCAGGTGGACAACTGGGGGGCAGCCAGCATAGAGGAGGGGGTAAGAAGGAGGGAGGGCCAGCAGATCTTACTGGTCACCACTGTTCTCAACCAGACGCCTGGCAGAACTTCTCGGTCTTACGGGCCCTGCGGAACTGGCCCAGTTCCCACAGGGCCTGGGTCTCATTAGACAGAGAGTTCTACCAGGTTTTGGATGAGATAGGTTTTCTGGGATCTATGCTAGCCCAGTCTCAGAAGCGAAGCAGGGCTGGCTGGTTAGTACTTGGACAGGAGACCACCAAGGAAGTCCCAGGTTGCTGTGCAGGGGCAGGTGATGGCAAACCACCTCTGTTCGTCTCTTGCCTTGAAAACGCTATGGAGTTGCCAAAAGTTGGCTGCAACATGACGGCATTTTCCATTCTACCAGTACGTGGAAGGTTCGGCACAGAAGCTGCGCTGATTGCTGAGCTTCGCCTGGGCTGCATTCAAAACATCTGCAACAAACTGTAGTTAGCATTCCAGGTGGAAGTAACAAATGTGGTGCCCGTGTGTGAATCTTGATTTCTATGCTTCCTATCCCCTCTCAGCCCTCCCCCCAGTAGGGAGGATGTCAGCAGACATCCAGGGAGGGTTTGGGCTGTAGCAAAGCAGTGGAAGATCTCCTTGGCATCCCAAAGGTCCCAGGTTCTGGCCCCAGCATTTTCAGCTAAAAGGCTCAGGTGGTAGGTGATGTGAAAGACCTCTCTTTGAGACCTTGGAGAGCAGCTGCCAGTCAGAGCAGGCAATGCTGGTCTTGATGACACCAGTGGTTTTGCCTCAGGATAAGGCAGCTTTTTTAAAGGGCTGTGACTCACTGGTAGAGTAACTGGTTTGCATGCAGAAGGTCCCGGGTTCAATCTCCGGCATCTCCTGTTAAAAGGATTGAGTAGTAGGCAATAGCCCTAACTTGGATATCCTGGTCTCAGAAGCTAAACAGGGTTAGCCCTGGTTAGTGTTTAGGTGGGAGACTACCAAGAAATTGAAGAGCCTCTTTGTAGAGGCACGCAATAGCAAGCCACCTCTGAATGTCTCTGGCCTTTAAAATCCTACAGGGTCTCCATAAGTTAGTTGCAACCTGTTGGCAAGGGGAAAAAAGGTAGGTGATAGGGAAGACCCCCAACCTGAGACCTGGGAAAGCTCTACCACTGAATTATAGCCCTTCCCTTTTCAAACGCCTCTCATTTCATTCTTGTTAATACAATTTGAGATAACATGCTGCTGAATAGGGTGGTGTTGATAGGGATCCTCTCATTTCATTCTTTTAAATACAATTTGAGATAACATGCTGCTGAATAATAGCGTGGTTGGGTACAGCTGCCTTGAACCACAAGGAAAGGCAGGGTATAAATGCTTTAATAAATAATAAATAGAAATAAATAAATTGGGACGTCGTCAACCACCTTCAGATGACTGGTTCATTCAGTCCAGTAGGTTCTGAGTCTTGTGCTGAGAGGTCTTTCCCAGCCAGCCTTTCTGGGTTCTTTTTTTGTCTGGAGATCACAAGGGTTATTGAGGAAACACTCTGATGGATCAAACCAACCACCCATCTAATCCAGCATCATGGTTGGTTAGTGGCAAACCAGGTACACCCAGGAGACTCCCAGGCTGGACACAGAGGCCAAAGCCACCTCTCAGTAATACTCTTGAGATACACTGCTCCTGAACATGGAGGTTCCATTTAGCCAACGGATAACTGTCCTCTGGATTTGTGTAAGCCAAAAATCTGTCCCACATGCTGAAAGAACCACATCAGATGGGATAACGTGTAGTATCTGTGGTTCTGTGAAATCATCCACATACCGATTCTGGGGTACTTTAGTCCTTGGCAAAAAATTTAAAGTA